AGATTCATTGCTTCTTCTGAAAAAAATTTTCTCCTTGAGGAAGAAATCCAGGAGTGCTGCTTCGGTACACTAAAGAACATTTTGCCTTTCCCTAATCAATAAAAGCCTAAACGCAAGTCTCCCTGTTAGAGATATGCCCAGCTGAGTATCTTTTATAAGCTTTTGTTCTCTTACAGAGGACAGAGATAATTCCTATAAAAGGGAAGCCATACCTTGTTACTAATAGTAATGCAAAATCAAAACCAGCTGCTGTGACATATTTGTATTTTCTGTAATATTAAGGAGAAAATAAAAGGGTGTTTTGGCACATTTCTTGAGAGGAACTAATGAATTAAAAGAACTCATTACACCAGGCAAGGACTCTTGTGCTCCTTTCCCTAATATCTGAAAATAACACAATTATAACGTATTTATTCTCACTGCATCATGCAAAGTAGGGAAGGACTGTTATTCCCCTTTCATCAATGGGGAAATGAAATGTGCAGACAGAGGAATAGCTTTACCAGAGGACTTCAGTGCTTACAGCTGGATTCAGGCACCCACAGGAGGATCTGGGCAGGTTTATGTCTAAAACCTGCATTCTCAAAATTTCTGCTTTCCTGCTCCCTACCCAGACTCACACATCAATTTAAATAGCTGTGTTCCTGAGGTATCTCAAGATCTCCTTCTGGGCATGTCCAAAAGCACCTTTGTCCTGACGGGGATTGTGTGATCTGTCTGAACAGGATTTCCAAACGAGGTGTTCTTCTCCCTAAGCCTCCCAAGGATCCCAGACTGGCAGGCATGTTCAGCACATGTCTACCTGTTTTCCAAAAAATGTGGTGGGAGATTTGAATTTAAGCAACAGCAGAGCCTGGAATTGTGCCTAGTTTGTAAATAAAAGGCATTATAGCAATGCTTTACCAAACCTTTGCCTTCACAGATAGACAGATGGGGAGCAGCTCAGCCCTGGGAGCTGACTTTACAGTGTTATTAATTCTTTCAGAAGGTCCCACTGCTTCTAACACTGCCCAGAAGGGATGGGGGAGTAGGTTAATTACACGTTGGCTCTCATTTTCACCTCAGCCCCCTTCTCTCTAACATCCACTATTAATAGACTTTCTTGACTTTTGCTATTACCTGATCTGATTTGTATTTACTTGCAACATGACAAAAAAGGAACTATTTGGGTTGAATTTTTCCAATGGTGATGCCTGCCTCAGGCAAAGGTGAAATAAGAAAGCTAATTCCAGTCGGCATTGGTTTTGAGTAGAAAGCCAGGGGAAAACACTGTTTTAATAAGTAACAAAAACCTTCCCTCGCCATCCTTCCTCACCTCATCCTATCACCTACCCTCATGCTGCATAGCAGCAACTTGCCTGGTGTTTGCAGCACCACTTGGCTGGTGGTTGCTTTCATTTCAAAGCTGTACTTATCACTGTCAAGTACATCGCCTCTTCCACCCCCACAAACAACCTGCCCAAACTTAACCACATGAAAAGCATTTCGGAAATCACCATTCACTCACCCTTATTAGACCTCTTCGCAAGCCTGACAAACTCACAACCTCAAGTTCCTTTCTGTATTGAGTGTTTTCAAACTGCTGGCTAGGATCATCCTTGCAATTGTAGTTTCCAGCGCCCAAATCAAGAAGTCGGAACCCTCTCGAAGTGAGCTCACATTTTGTGCTTTCTTTAGCTTATGAAGTTCTCCTTTCTTCCTGACATCGGATGCTTGATCCTTGTCTTCCTACACTGTCTGGATCTGAGAGGATGAGCACTCACCTCTCCTGCTCTGTGACTTAGGAGACCTGTGTTCTGGTCCTGCTGTTCTGGTGTTGTGACAAACCTGGGGCAATTCATTTAAAAACTAGGTATCCTTCACCAACAAAAAGGAAGTAACACACCTCAACTTAGAAAGACGCAGAGAGGTTACACTTTAAAACTGCTGTGGGGATGTCAGATGCTCAAAGTATAATACCAAAGCACCTTCCAAGTCAGAGCAATACTGAGGTGGTAGATGGAGGAAAACAAGAGGTAAAGAGCTGGCTGGGGTTCAAGCTGTTCTCTACAGGGCTTCTTCCCAGATCAGATAACTATGTTTAAGTATGAAAAATTAATGCTTGCTTTTTCCTCTGCCTCTTGGATTTGCTGCTGCTGGTGCCTGTCACTGTTGCTACTGCTGGCATTGCCAGTCAGCAGCTGAATGGAGCCGACTCTCACTCACGACACCACTGCCCCAGGAGGGCAAACAAGTGTTTGTCTCTGTGTTCCTGCTACAGGGCCTTGCAAAAGTCTAGCCAAGTTCATCTTCTAGCCATAAAGGCTGGAATAAGTCACTTCAGAAACGTAAATATTGGAAATGGATGAGTGTCCTCTCCATATGTTAACTGCAAAGAAATGCCTCTGAGCAGTGGGCAATGGCTTCTTCAAGCTTCTACCTTGAAGTAGTGCAAACATGGGACGTGGAATGGGTTAAGTGAACTGGCAGAAGCTTTGTAATATTTCAATAACTATTGATATATTAAAAAGGAAGAGCTGGAGCACAAAAAACCTAAGTCAAAGATAACCTTAATCGTTTGGACTTTCCTACCCGTAATTTAAACCAGCTGCAGGAGGGACAGGGTAGTTCTGGCTTGGATATTCCTCAGGCTTACAACATCAAGGAGGCATGATGTCAGGAAAACTATCACAAGAGCATTTTACACTGAAACTTTTACCTTGGGGAGTGACAGGAGAGAGTGGTGAGAGCTGTATGCTATTTATTGTACTACAGAGATAAAAACAGGCCTTGATCCCTCCAGCTCTCTGAGGGAGCCATTCGTAAAGCTCAAAGGTAACCTGGGACTAGTAGAGTTTGAAAAGATTTTTCAGAATAATAATAACAACAAACCCCTCGTCTCTCCAGCCCACATTCACTTGTCAACAGCCAAAGGGTTTTGAATACAGCATCTTCCTTAAGGGAATGAGAAAATTAAAGAACAGCCCAGAAATGTCAGCAAGTTGGTGAGAGACAAGACTGAGAAGCTGAAACAGGAATAGAGCGGGCCTGAGCAAGTAGAAATAGAGAAGAAATTTTAATAAATAAAAGGAAAAGTGCTTTACTTGGTCTGTCCGTTCTCAGTGTAGGTGGTCCTATAAAACCCAACCAGGGAACCATTCAGCCAGCCTTGAAACTTCAGGGTGAGTATATAGGGATCTTTTTCATCAGTGACAGAGAGCTGTGCTTCTGCCTTCATCACTATGTACTCTTGCGGCTTGTACTCAAAGCAGTCGTTCAGAGCAATCTGCTGTCCTGAGGATTTCCGGAGTGTGGGCATTTCTGTAATCTTGGTCTCTCGCAGGTGGAGCCACAGGTAGCTGGTAGATTTTTCCAATGCAATAGAAATATTGACTGTCCCAGTGTAAATATCTGTCGCCATTTCAGGCTTCATTTCCAGATCATAGTGGACAGGCTTGACATAAGTGGGTAGCCTAAAATGTCTCCAGTCTCCACTCCCATCATTTTTAGAAGGACAGGGACCCAAATCCACTGGGGGAGGCGGTTTTGTTGGCTGCTCTGTTTCTCCTGAAGCTTGCTGAGGTTTAGGTCTGCTCAATCCCACGCCAAGCCCCACAGCAAGACCTACAACGACCACGACGCCACAGATGACGGCCACATGCTTTGTCTTCATGCAGTACCTCTTGGAATTCTCATCCTCGAAATTCAGGCCCTCCATCTCTGCTCCCCAGTCTGTTCTCAGAGCAAAACATTAACTGTAAAAAAAGCTTATTAGTCACTTCAGCACTTGCATTCAGTAAACTCAGCAGACTTGGTTTGTATTTTAATTGTGTAGCTATAGCTGTTCTCTGCCCGTCTCCCCCACCTCGCTTTCCGCGAGACACTCAATTAATTAAAGACAACATGCATTTGGAGGAAATGTGAATGATCAAAAGGAGCGCAGCTGGGCTGGGAGACGGAGGGAACTGACACAGAAGAACATTGTTCCTGCCGTGCTCCCCTTATAAGCAGCGCAACCCCACCCCCAGCCCCTCCTGCTCTGGCCTGAGTTAAATATAAAACAGTGCTATGTTAATCAGCAGTTAGGAGATGATCAGATGCCAAAGCTCTGTCAGCAGCTTTCAGAAAGTGTTTGCAGATAGAAGTGTAACTGCTCCAAACCCTCAACCTTTGCCACTACCTCTTCCTTTTTTTCTCCTGCTGTGTCTTGTTTGGGTTTTTGGGGTTTGGGATTTTTTTACTTTTTCCTCTTACTAGCAAAGATTTCCTTGAACTTCCACTCTATAGTTTGTGAAATGACATCTCCAAAGTCTCAAAAATCCAGCAAAAATCACATACATCTTTCAAGGCCTTTTCAACTGTTTCCCCTCTTTTCTAGGCTCATTTACCTTTGCCGAGTAATTCAAGGCAGTCACAGGCAGAAGAATGCACAGTGGAACAATAAATTTTGATTACTGACTTCAAACTCGAAAACATGTTTAAATCCTCTCCCCCTCTCATAAGGCCAGTTTTCCAGGCGATTGCTCATAACCATGCATGCAAGCTGTTAGCCTGGGATAGCATTGCCTTGTTGGTCAGCACAATTACAGTGCTGCCTGTGAACCCTTGCTGTGAGGGACACTTCTAAATATTCAGTTACATGATTTATGTACTAAAGATCTAATTTAGCATTTACTGCATGTCATCACGATGTGGCGCTTCATTGAAACAAATTAACTGAATAGAGCCTGATTCTGCTTGGGGGAACTTACTGTAAGTAGGGCCTTGTTAAGCCTGCAAGCAAGATGTTGGTAATGCAGTATGATACTGAGTACAGCAGTAGTCTTGACCTTGTTTGATGCTGAACTAAAGGAAAACAGTGTAGAATAGAAACCTCAGTCCCTGTATCTCTTAACCCTTTTTCTCCTGTTACGAAGCCCACTTGAGTAGGTTTTTAATCAGGCGCATCAGTTTGGCTTCATGCATCCTGTTTTAGTTTATTAGGAGACATTAACATTACTCTTCACATCAGTTACAACTCTCTGACTACTTAGACTCTTTTTTTTTTTTTTTTTTTTTTGAGTTTTGAGATGGATGAAGTTTCACCTGGATGAGTTGACTTAGGCCCTAGAATGAGTCGATGTGTGCTCCAGGTGAGATGCACTGAATCAGGGAAGGAGTTTTCCCAGGATAGACTTCATCCAATCTGTTTAGAAATGGATCTGCTCACAAGCTTTGTAAGTCTTCCTTTGAAATATCACCAGCCACCATGGGGAACTTTAGCCACCCAATCAACATCAGCACTCTTACAGCACACTACTATTTATATAGCATCTTGTTTTAAAGGCAAGCTTTTCCGACAGGAACTGAGGAAAGAAAAAGTCTTTTTTTTGCAGAGCATGAGGTTAACTCTTACTCAGATATTTTCAAAAGTGAAAAAACAATGCAAAAAAAAAATCAAACAGAAAGCTAAAAATCTGTTTTACATTATGCCTGTTTTTATTGTTTCCCATTTCTCTTCTGTGATCAAAACTAGATATGACATGGGAAACTAGTGCCCTTTTATGGCTTGGGTAAGAATTTAACTTCTAGCAACAGAGCCAGTATTGAAGATCACAGTCTTAACATTTAAAACCATTTCAGCTTTTCTTTTGTTCAGATTAGACAGGACAAGGAAAAAGAGCAAGAATAGATTTTAAATAAGACTTCTTAAGGCAGAGCAGGCCCAAAGTGATGAGATAGTAAATGTGTCTTGATTTCAGGCATGCTTTTTACATCACTGCCATTTTCATTCTCCTTAGCCATGAGGTTTTCTTTTACATTTTTAATCTGAAGGTGAAAAGTGCTGTTTGAGTTTATAGACTGCAGAGCAGGTTGTTTACTGTAACTATGAAGAGACTTGCAGATTTCTTCACAGATAACAATTACCTCCTTCAGGAAGAGCTAGAAAACATATGTGGATGAGCTGGTCCTAAAGAGCAATCATATATGTATTTCTTATCCTAAGCCTTAAAAACAACACTAGCAGTAACCATTACAAACTAATGAAGAGTGACAAATGAATTAGCTCAACAAGTAGCAGAGATTATTGGTGTCTTTCTGTCAGTCAAGAGCAGTAGTGTAGTTATATGCAAGCTCTAGCATTGATCTTCTCTTTATTAAAACTGAGGTTCAAGCTTAGTTGCAGCCAAAAATAGGTACAATAAATTTCTGATAGTGGTAGTTATGAGCAGACTTATACCTCCCATATCAGAAATATGCTTTGTTCCCAGCTGACACCACTGGGGTCAGCTACCAGTGCTAAGAAGCTGCCTAGCTGCCAAGACACCTAGGGACCAATGACCTGATAGACACATCCAAGATTAAGACAGGGCTCAAACTATTAATTCCTCTACACAGGAGCAATAAAGGAGGGCAGAGTTCTCAAAGGCAATGCGAGTGCTCTCCCTGCTTGGCTGTCTCCAGGTAGAAAGGGGCAGGGAACAGGATCTGCCTCCCCAGAGAGGAGAACACCATGTCCTTCATTGACAAGGTATAGATACTCTCCCCACAGGCATAGGATGATGAATCCCCATATGTAAAGTGGAAGAAAGCTCACCCCAAGCTGCTTCAGCATCAACCACAAGCATGACTGCAGGCAAGTGCTGGCCAAACTTGGAGGGGTTTAAATTGCTTTAGTTTACTTTCCAGGAAACTGAAAAGAGATCAAAACAATGTTATCAGTCACCTGGATGATACTAACACCTGCTATCATTTGTTTGGTGTTGATTTTTAATTGAAGTGATTTCACCTTAAGTTAGGATTTAGTTCTTAGACTGCACCCAAATTACCAGACTAGCTTAACCCTGCCCCTTTGGCTACCTAAAATGGAGGGGGTTATGAAGTCACCCTGCTCTGTCATGACATTGCTGGTGGGGACATGTATGTGCCTATAGGAGCAATAAATAGATATCTTTTCAGACAACTACCAGGAATATAAATGAATCCTAATTTTTATCGCCAAGTTAACAGCCATTCATTTCCAATATAATTTCCAATTTTAAGTTCGGAAAATGGAATAAAATTTCCGCAAGTGACAGCCAGGATCAGCAATAGCACAGGCCTGCTGTAGGCATTCAGGGAGAAGTCACATAGTCCCAGGAAATCCTTAATTGAAGCTGACAATGAGAAAAGATCTGCTCTGGAAAGCATCAAAGACATGGAAATAAATGAAGTATATTAAAAAAAAAAAGAAAAAAACCCTCCGCTGCAACTCACAACAAATGAAACTCCTTTGAGCCAAGTCCATCATTGGAATAACATGAAACACTTACTGGGCCTATGCCAAGGAGGTCTTTGGCTCCCTGTGTCCAGGGACATTAAGGCAACATGAGGGAAGCAGAGTCTAAGGACCTCTGATTTCCTTCTGTTCTCTGAGCTGCCCCTGCTATGAGATTTAGGGATACCGTAATCAATGGCCTCCATCAAGAGGAATCTGTCTCTCTTTTTAACTTTAACTAACTTTTTAAAACTAACACTCCTCGTTAGATTTGTCATTGTAAAAAAAGAAAGCATGAAGCAATCTGCTTCAAAGCAGTAGTGACTGCTTTCTGGCAGAGCTGCACTTGTAGACTTCTCCCCTGTGGCCTTCTACCAAAATAAGTTTAGGACATTAATTTGAGAAATGTGAAACTGGTTATGGTGTTCCACCAGGTCACAAATGAATTGTGTCAGAAATAATTCCATAGTCCAGTGTTTTTCTATATCTATAATGACTGATTTTGTCTCCATCTTTGGCTTTGAGCACCCTCTAGCAATCATTAATCCTCTGGAGTTCACAAGTCTTAGTAATTACTGGCTTGCAGTGGTCCTTGTTCCACTCACAATCTTTTCTATGACAGTTTTTAACTACAAAACAAGTACTTTTGGGTTTGTGTTGTTTGGAAATGCAAATGTTTTGAACTGATTTGAAAAAGACAGTCAGGATTTCTTTAATCATAATTGTTTCCCCATTTAGATCTTTGAAATCTGGCCCCAGTTGTGAGGTACTGTGGGCTGCAGTGCCTTGGGGGCACGGCATTATTTCCTGCTGCAGACTGACAAGCTCTGTGTATAACACAGTAGCTGAAGCACAGTGCGGTCTCACCACCTGTTCCGGGTTCTGCGCTGTTCCTCCAGCAGGTCAGTGCTGGATGATTTATTTACCAGTAGGGTCAAGGCTGGAGGGAACTACCTCAAAGCCTCTTCACAAGGAAGTACCATGAGTTACCTTTAGTAGAGACTTTATCTCCTTCTTTTCTTTTTTTCCCGTTTCAAATTCCTGGTTATAGATTCTGTGCCTTGAAATGTGAATGTCATCTCTTGTAATATTTGTATAAGAAAAGCAAGTCAAACTATATTCATTTGCTTTGCTATGTCATATCATTTCATATCACATCATATCATATCATTTAATCCTCCCCTGCATTGCTGCCAAGGTGAGCTTGATTGAGTTCTTTCATTCTAATTATTACCCTTTAATACAAACCCAGAACAATAGTCTGGATCCTGGGGAATACAGTTCCAACTTTCCAATTGTAATGTGTTTTATTATTTTTACATTTTAGTAACCTATTTCCTGTCAGCAATGGTCATTAAAATAGTTACAGTTTATGGCTCTGCACTTCAAAGTCTAGCTTCCAATATGAAATTTCCTTTTTGTCTTTAAAAACATGCCTGGGGAAATTTCTACTGTATCAACAAAATACAATTTAACTTACATGGACATTTTTCAAACTCAACATACATCTTGTTTAACAACTTCCTAAGCAAAAATGAGAAAAGCAACAAGCTTTTCCAGTGTAACCTCTAGGATATGTTGGGACACCAGCAGGCCAACAGGAAAACCAAATACCTCTGTTTAGAAATTCAGTGGGAAATTCCTTGATGAAATTCTGGAGGCATTTTGTCCTCTTAGAATGAAAAATTTGCTTTCCACTCTCTTCACTTTTTTTTGGGAGTGA